ATGAACAGAATAGTAGGCTGGATAGACTACATATACCAGGACACCCGGGCCAGAGGCGTCTATTGATAGCCCCTTAGAGGTGATTCGGGGTGTCCATGAACCACCCCGACAGTGGGTCCTAGACACAATCCTGGTTCTTCAAAGTGACCGAACTTGATATCCGAATTTGAGGTCACAAACAAGCCTCCCGTTCTTGGGAACCCTTAAAAGGTCACTTTGAAGAAGCTGGATAGTAGGCTGATCGGCTGAATACAACTACATAGGCTGAATCGGCTGGGTCAATCTGTCAAAAATCCTTTGGACTCTCGGAACGCTCGGTCCGAAAAAGCCGCCACGGTGTTCGTCTTCAACGGAGAACGAAGCCGAACTGGTAAGGAAGATCCGAATCCCCTGAACAGGTCGGACCTCCTCCTCCGAACGGGTTAGGGCTTGGACCGGAAACCGTCACCAATCCCTATATAGCTTTGCTTCAGGAGCCGCGAAAGGGGCGAACTCACGGGGGTCGCGTCTGGGTGGAAGTCTTCCAACCACCCGAAGCCGCACTTTGAATTGGACGCATGTGTTCGACGGTGCCGGGCCAGGTGGTGCAAGCCATGCGCCTGCAGGGCTTGTCAGCGATGCCCTTGGAGATGAAGCAGAAGCCCTGGGCCTCCGTGGTGCTCCACACCAAGCTGGAGACCAAAGACATCCCAAAACCATAAACACATGTTTTTGTTGGCGCGAAAGGGTGTGGTGGTGTGGAAAGAGCTGGTAATGGGTAGTGGTGGCTGGTCCACGAAGTCTCGTAATGAGAGGTAAAATGATCTGAAAAGGAGGGTTCTTCAACCTTTGTTGGGATTGAATGACTGGAGCCTCTTCACTGCACCTGGAAGCCTGCCAGCCTTTTGAAACCAATAGAAAGGATGCGTGGTCTTTGTGTGGAAATTCTTTTGTGGGTCAGTAGCTGAATCCGTGAATTTTGCTTGAGCTTCTTTTCTGATTTGACTTGTTTGTTGGACCTCTCAGTCCACAACAGGCAAAGAGCTCCAAGCCATGCCACCAAGCCATGCCACGAAGCCCCGACCCGGACAACGACCCGGAGGGTCTCCAGGAGCTTAGGGGCAAACCGCCCAGCATGGGACGACGCTTCTCCTCCGTGCCACTGGGCGGCAGCTCGAGGTAGCGGAGCGAACCCGTCCAAAGGGCCAAGTTCATCCTGGTCCTTGACCTCACTGAGTACTGGGTTTTGCATGACCGGATTGAGTCAAATGAGGTCCGTAAGACCTGTAGGGTCATGTTTTTAGTTTCTTCGAATGTCCATTCATAGCCCCTTCGAGGTCTTTTGGGGTGTCCATCAACCACCCCGACAGGGGGTCCAGGGAAAGAGATCATGTTAACGAAAGTTTCTTCGACAAGAGTGTCCCAAAGATCTCGTTGTAAAGCGGAAAAGGAACTAAAAGCCACTTCCTGTGCCCACGTGCACCTCTCTCTCTCTCTCAGCAGCCATCATTGGAAGAATAGAAGCCTTTTGGGCTGGGACTACGAGGTATGCAGAGTCTTATGAGGTCTGTGTGGCCAAGTGGAAGTCCGAACTCATCGCAAAGAGATGGAAAACCCATTTTCAGGGATGGAAAGCCATTCAAAGTCTCAACAGAGGTTGTAGTGATCCATCACTTGGGGTGGTTTGAGTGCATGAAGTAGATGGAAAGGGTCAATTCCTGCCCTCCTTACCTTCGGCCAAGAGCTCCTAGGCCTGGCGCCAGGGCCCAAAATTTTTGACCAAGAACAGGAGACCAGCTGCCCCTATGCATCCACATGCCTTCTCAGGTATTTGAGCCCGCACATGAATAGTCTCCCTGCTCACCGTACCTCAGAAGGTATTTGGATCCTGAGGGCTGAGGGGGTTTCACCGTGACCTGTGTCGCCCAGTTGGTTTTGTTGGAGTTGCCGGGCTGAGGCTCACTCACAAGCTGGGCGTGCCAGTGGTTGCGGACACCCTTGGGGTGCGGCAGGTGCGATGGTTCAGCGATTGGCGCGATGGTGAATCATTTTGGACGTCAAAGACCACCGAACGCATCCCCAAAGCATGCAACAGCACTGGATTTACTTGGAGTTTCCAGGTGTGCTAACCAGTTCAATGACGAGACACCACGCTGTGCGGGTCTGTCAAACAGCCTGTGGAGACGTGGGCACCGGTTCTATAGTTGGAAGATCCATTTCTTTTCATCTCATTCTAACCCTTGCCAGGTCCTACAGCAGGAACTCCTGGGCACCGGTAGCGATGCTCCTCCGTCCACCGCGCCGCATGACCACGCGCCTGACCACGCGCCTGACCACGCGCCTGACCACGCGCCTGACCACGCGCCGCACGCGCCGCCGGACCATGCGCACGCGGCGGCGCACGGCGATGGGGACGGCATACCACAGCCGTTGCCGCTGCGAGCCGCCAAGGCGGGGCGGCGGATCGGCGGATCGGCGGATGGTTCGGACGTGCAGCGGATATATTGGGCGGTTTCTTCGAGTTTTTCTTCGAAGATTGGGCCAAAGCATTTCGGAAGATGTTCGGGCAGATGAAGGGGGGATTTGACCTGCGTGGCTGGAGATTGGGCGGTGCCAGTGCCCACGGTGAGCTCGGTGTTCCGATGTGTTGAGGGCTCGGGGGATGGGTGGGTGGTTCAGGGTAGGTCGAGTCGTCCGCCATGTAGGTAGGTCACACATAGGTTGACATAAAAGGGTTTATACCAGGACCTCCCAGTCGGGGTGTCTATTTATAGCCACTGAGCAGTTGTTTTGGGGTGTCCATTCACCACCCCCTTGCGCCTGGGGGGTCCTGGTATTTCAGTCGACGTTGGGATAGCTTAGTACGGTGCCAGTGCCCTTATCACACACCTCCACTGCACCGTGCCGCGGTCGATGAGGCCCCCAGCGCGGTCGTATGGGTGTTCCACTCCTAGGGTCGATGTTCCGTTTCCCGAAGCCACCACAGAAAGGGTGTCCATCAATAGCCCCTTAGGAGGTCAAGGGGTGTCCATTAACTACCATTTAGGGGTCCAGGGCGGTTTCCCTTCACAATCTGCTTGACTGTTGCTACACCGGCAGGTGAACTACAACAACCTGATGACGTCCAGCCATCGCTTTCCACCAGTGCTACGCTATGGCCACGTGGGCTATGTGACCAGCGGCGGAAACCGCCGCGTGTGGCTGGACGTGGCCACACGGCTGGGATGAAAGCTGGAATGGAATGGTTCGAGCCCCTTTTCAGTCGAAGGTGGTGTTGAAAGTATGGAGGTGTAAAAGCGGTGATTTGGAGAGAAGACCTAAGAGAGTATGAAGAGGGCATGTGTGAATGTTCTGGGTGCCGTGGTCAACATCGACGACACACCTCGTCAGAATAGAGACTGACCACAGGTGACAACGTTGGACAGAGACGGACCTGAATGTGCATGACGTACCTGGTGCCACTTGTGACCTCTATTTTGGACCACCAACCACCCATATGGCTGAAACTTCCTGTCCAGGCTCTATTGTCTATTCCCACAACCATGTCCGTTGAGTCTGTCCCGGTAAACCCGTAAAGCCGTCAGGTTGAAAACCAAGCAAATCACTAGGCCTTTGAGATCTGGGCCACCAGGCCCCATCATCCAGTGGGCCCTGGTCATAGGATAGACCGCGAATTCGACCCAAGGTCTCTCGACTCTCGTGACGGCCGTCTAGCGCCGAGGTGATCCACGTGGAGGGCTACAAGCCGAAGCTCCACGCGCTCACGGGCGAGGGATCCGCTGAACGCAACGCGGTGGCGCTGAACGTGGCTCGGACAACCGAGAAGATCTGGGGGGGTGTGGGGCCACGATGGGAACATGGTGAGATCCAAGGATCAAGCGACTTAAAAACTGTTTTTTGGAAAGGGGGAGGCTGATGCCAGGGTCCTAACAAAGGTTAGAATGATTTTGTATACATATGAATATCAATCATATCAATTATATGTTGATTTCAATGCTTTCTAGAGGGCACAAATTAGAGGTGATTTGCCAATCTCTATGCCGACCCTTACTTGAACTTCTATTTTTTTCATCAACCTTCCTCCATGGACCGTGTGATTTCGTTTCGGCGTGACCGTCACCCCCCTAAAAAGCTCCGCGATTTTACGATGTCCTACATGGTCTGATCAGGTGGGTGATCCTTTCAGGCGCCTTCCTTCAACGTTCGACCACTCAACCAATCCTCGTTTCTCTCACCACTCGGACCGACCCGGACCCCCCCCGGGAGTGGCGAGTGGCGGAAGCGAGTGTCGCTCCGTCGAGCCTTCGGCCGTGCGAGATGGTGGTGGTGGTGGTTTCACCGCAGCTGGAGTGATCGGCCTGGGACCGAAGAAGGTGGATCAGGTGAGGTTTGGTTCTCTTTTCCCTGGGAGGCGGTCAGACTATCAAAAGAATGGTCTTTACTTTAGGGGACCTGATTTCGGGAACTTCCTGAAACCTTCAGCCGGTCAACATATCGTCTCTTTGGACTTCTAGGGATTTTCCCGGTTCGAGGGTCAATCCCTGGCGAACGAGCCAACCAGTGAGGACCTCACTGGGGAAGGCCACCTTTTTTTTTTGGAATGGAATAGCTCTCCACAAAGGCAATGGGATAGCCAAGTACACCTCGCGTCCATGCACGCGGAATCTTCATTGAAATTATCAGGATTCATGTGAAATCCGCTGTTTTGCAGGTCGCATGAGCATTGGCCTCGACGTCCGCAGCCATTTGCCAGACCCGAGTGGTCCACCCGTGTGGTCCACCCTCTCCCGGCCTGACCGGCCCTTGTTCGATCGTTGTGCCATAGCCCGGGCTTCATCGCCCTGGCCGTTCGTGGAGACAGACTTTCGTCCTGGCCTGTCCGCTGGAAAAGAGAGGGAGCAGCCGCTTGTGATTTCTTTTTGTTGCAGTGCATTGCATCACTTTACATTGGAAACCTCCGCACCAGTTTTCAAACTGGTAGCGGAGCCAGGTCAATCCTGGCTCCACTGTGCTACTCCGCAATGACATCTGGAACAGATCGGGCCAAGCTGCCATGTTACAAGGATGATGAGATCTTAGTTGACTCAGCAGGTATTCCACATTTTTCTGGTGCAGTTCCATCGTTGTTCAAGGAGTACAGGCAGCGTGTGTTGTTTGCATTTCAAGGACTTGAAGGAGATGGCAAGACCAAGGAGGAGGAAGAGCATGATTTAGCTCGCAAGCAACGACGCTTTGCACGTCGTCTCATTGATGGTTTGCATGGCGAAGCATGGGTTGCATGCCAAGAGTTGTTGAAAGACTCGGAAGCATTGAAGGCAACAGATGCATACAAGAAAGTGTTTGAAGCCCTCGCTGGCATTGAGAAGGAGGTGATCATTCGCAAGACAGAAGCATTTGAGAAGTTTTTCGATCGCAGCCATCGTCGTCGAGGTCAAGACATCTACACCTATATCAGAGAGAAGCGACAGTGTTGGCGTGACTTGAAGCATTTGGACGATGCTTCAAATATGTCGGAAGATCTGCAGGCCTATTTTCTGTTGCGTGGAGCCAACCTCAGTCGTGAAGACCGTCGTGCAATCTTGTTGGCCAATCGTTCAGCCTACACCCAAGAAGGCATTGAGCAAGCTCTCAAGATCTCCTACCATGATTTGCATGAACGAGAGAAAGCTCGTGGTGGCTATGATGAGAGTCGCTATGTTCGCCGTAAAGGCAAAGGCAAGGGCAAGCGGCAGTATAGCCATTGGGTTGAGGATGAACCGGATTCCGTAGAGCAAGATTGGTTGGATGAGTTGACAGAGGCTGATCCGGACACCGTTACAGAGTATGCAGCAGAAGCCCACGATGAGACCGAGTGGGAGCCTGAGGAGCCTTCATCAGACATCGGTGCATCAGGAGACGATGAGATCTTTCAGGCCTATGCTGCCATGGATCGCCAGAGAAAAGGCTATCAGGAGCAACGTCAGAAGCTCAAGAACTTGCAGAAGAGCAGAGGCTTTTTCAAAGGTGAGTTCACTTGGGAAGAGCGCCAGAAAGCCATCAGCCGTGAGAAAGAGCGCTCACGATGCAGTGCCTGTGGCCGCATTGGCCATTGGGCAGGTGATCCAGAGTGTGGAAAGACCGGAGGAGACTCAGCAAAGAAGAAGGGCAAATCTCGTGGCAAGGACAAGCAGAAGAAGGGTTCAGCAAACATTGTCAGTGAGATGCCTTTCCCCAGTTATTTCACGCTCGGTGAAGGAGATGAAGACCTCGGTTTCGTCTGCGTGACCCATGATGAGGATGAGATGCCCATTGATGCAGGAGACCCCGACGGCCGCCGCCGTCGCATTCGTGAGCAGAGTGAGTCATGGTCCGTGGTGAGCTTTCCAGATGGTCCACCAGAACCAGATCATGGCTATGCCCCGGAGCGAGTTGTCATTTGCGGCGTGCCATACCAGTCGGTTGAGGCAAGCACAGAGCAGACCATCCAGACCCTTCGTGAGCTTGGCATGGATGTTGAGCGTGTTTCCATCACCGAGGAGGAGCAGACCCTTACATTGTATGACAAGCGTGTGACTCAGTTGCAGGAGTTGTGCGTTGGCTTCAACATTGCGCATTCGGGTTTGAAGAAGAATGAACTGATTGAGCGTTTGTCGAAGTTCTTCGGTGGTCACCCAGTGCCAAACCGTGGAGGATCCGGAAAGAAGTTCATTGTGAAGGAGCTCAAGGAAGGTGATCAGGGCATCATCACGCCCAAAGCCAAGCCAACGGCGAAGCCAGCCGCCAAGAGCAGTCCGGCGCCCACCTTGCCGGAGCATGCGCCTTTCATCGGACCTCATGGAAGGTACACACAAGATGAGCTCTTCCAGGAGGACGTGTCAATTTGGCACATGAAGTGTGAGATTTGCCAGGCAGCCATGATCGGCAAGAGAAATCGTGAAGATGGTGGCAAGTTCTATGCATGCAGTCGGTACCCGATCACCGGTTGCAGGTTCACCATGAACTACCGTGATGGCATGATTCGCTTTCGTGAGTCGTTGGCAAGAGTGCAGGGCTTGGCAGCAGCCGGTGCAGGGCCTTCATCGGGCTCGGCATCGGGTTCCTTTCGCTGAGGAGCATGTGGAGGAGGATCGAGCCTACATGGTTCGATCAGTGCTGCAAGAGAATTCAAGAACCTTGAGTGCAGAATTCGTTGATGGTGATGAGAATTTAGCTGACCCGTCTCTCTTGGCTTTACCGGAGGAGTTGGAGCGTGCTTACCATCAGATTGGAGAAGGAGCCGACGCCAACGAGGCCAAACTAGCTCTTATTGATACAGCTTGTACGGCTTGCATGCATTCTACATGTTGGCGCAGAGCATTTGAACAGTTCCTTCCACCTGGACTTCGTTGAACCGACGGAGATGCGCAAGCAGTTCCATTTTGCAAACGGGTCAAGCACACAAAACAGCGTGACAGTATGGAAAATTCCATTGTGTCTAGGCGGACGCTTGGGCACTGTTTTCTCTGCTGAAATTCCAGAAGGGAACACTCCATTGCTTTTATCCATTTCAGCCCTGGATTCTTTGGATGCAGTCATTTTCATGAGACAAAGGAAGATTCGTTTGCAAGAGCTTGGTGTTGAAGCGCCCTTGGTACAGACAAGGACGAAGCACAGAGCGATTGAGGTGAGCTTTGACAATTTGTTTGATCCTGGCGAAGACACAGAGAAACGAGCACCGATCTTGAAATCGGAGGCGGAAGATTTAGCACTCTATTTTGCAGAGGAAGCTGAAGAGAGCATCTTTCAAGATACCACACCTTTGTTACAGCTTGACAGCTTGGAAGAGGCATTTATGGTCAAACTTCCAGACCTGACGGCTCGTGGTGTGAGAAGAGAAGATGCTAGAAAACAGTTGCATGCTGCTAGATTTGAAGCCTTGCAACGGTCGGCCGTGTCGCAACGTGTTTTGGATCATCGCATGTGGATAGCATTGAAGCACAACTACAACAAAGCAGAGGACATGGCAACAAACGGCTTTAGTTGGACTATGATCTTTGAACCATGGTGTGGTACATTCCCAGTGACAAGACTAGCTGCAGCAACAAGAGGTTGGATCAACAGTCAGCCGCTTGATTTGTTGGATGGCTACGATTTGTTGAGCAGTCGTGGCAAAGCTTTACTTGATAACACACTGGAGCAACACAATCCATACTTGGTTTTGATCGCTTTGTGGAGCACACTTACAAACCTCAACAGACACATTGATTGGGAAGCTTTGCGCAAAACAATAGGCAGAATGACCCTCAAGCTGGTCGTGAAGATTTGCAAAAGGCAAGTGCGAGAAGGGAGATACTATTTGATAGAAAACCCTGGTGGAGCATATAGCCGGATCTTTGAAGGATTTTTTTTGATGACACTTGTTCAAGAGGGCATTGGCAAAAATCTTACAGAGTGATCAATGCCGTTACGGGAAAGTTGACCGCGTGTCAGGAAAACCAGTCAAGAAGCGGACAGGTTGGCTTTCGAACAATGAGTTCATCTTGAACCAGCTTGGACTTCAATGCGAATGTCCGCCGGGAGCTCATGAGGAGATCATCGGACACCGCAGATCAAAAGAAGCAGCAGTCTACCCTAGACAGCTTTGTGAGGCAATTTTGAAAGGAGTTGAACAGAGCATTGTCAATGATTACATTGCTGATCGGAGGAGTTGCCCCGCTATTTTACAATCTGCTTTTCCAGTGCATGTTGTTGATGACGACGAGGTTGTTGACGTGTCTTCAGGTGAGGAGCCACCGCAACCGCGTGCACCTGGAATGTCTGAGAAGATCCGTCGTGAGATGGAAGAGTTTGAGGCGAGTTTGCCTCCACCACCAATGCCAAGAACAGAGTTGTCAGCAGAGGATGAGCCGGAAACACCTTTTCCAGTTGACCCTTCAGGTGATAGAGATGTAGCAGTTCCTGAAGCAGAACCTGTAGCACCATCCCGTGCAACAGCAGCACCGATGACACCTAGCAATGTTTTGAGACGCAGGCCTAGGACTCAGGAGGTTCGCAGAGGTGCATGGAGCAAGTTGCATGGAGCAGATGTTCTGTTGACTTTGCGTGAACTTTTACGCTGGAGTGTTGACAATGGTGCAGTGAATTGGTCTGTTTTGGAAGATCAAGAACAGCTTGCAAAACGCTTGAAGGACATGGAGGTGGCGCAAACAGACGTTAACCTTATCCTTGTTTCACGTGTCGCACGTCGTATGAAGAAGCCGCAACCTCGGTTAGGCCCACTTGAGGCACCACTTCGGAAAGCCATTCTGTTGATGGACAATGACGATGTCATTACAACAGGTTGGGAAGAGTGGACAAAGCAGCCAGTTTCTTCGCAGATTCGAGCACTTCCTACAAGGCCTAGGCAATTGGCCGTCATGTTGTTTGGAAAGGATGCACATGCATCACCTCCAGCGGAGGAACCGGAGCCTCAAGAGGCAGCTGATGCAAAGTGGAATCGTGTTCCACGAGAGTTGCGTTTAGCCCTTCGTCGCGTCCATGTGAACTTGGGACACGCTAGGTTGCCAGACATGTTGAGATGTTTGCGCATCAGTAGAGCAAGTGAAGCAGCAATCAGAGCATGCAAACTTTTTCGGTGCAAGGAGTGTCCTAGACTTTTGGAGCCAAAGATCCCTCGACCTTCAAAGCTGCCCGTGGTCGATGAATTTGGCATCATTGTTGGACTTGATGTTCTCGAGGAGAAATGTGCAGATGGCGTGAGTTGAATCTGGTTGAATATACTTGATTTGGCAACTACATTCCAAGTTTGTGCAGTCCTCGACCAGTCGCACCGCAATCCCACAAGTGCTGAGATCTTGAATGCTTTTACAACACATTGGGCAAGCTGGGCAGGAATGCCTGAAAAGGGCGTTGTTGTTGATCAAACTCGGTATTTTATGGGTGAGTTTGCAAAGTTGCTTGAGGAGCATGGCTGTGAAGTCAACATTGCTGCAAAAGCATCACCTTGGCACATTGGCGCAGTTGAGAGACATGGTGGTACCTGGAAGTCGATCTGGCGTCGTGTTGCTTGGTCACAACAGATCAGTGGTGTGCAGCAAGTGAGGGTTGCTACGGCTGAAGTGAATAAGGCAAAGAATGCCTTGTCTCGCAGATCAGGTTTCTCGCCTGAACAATGGGTGCTCGGACGCTCTGTCCGTGTACCTGCAAACCTGCTGGACGATGGAGAAGTGGCCCGCATTGGAGCTCAAGCAGCTGCATTGACACCTGGCACTAGGTTTTACAAGCAGTTGCAGTTGAGAACCGCTGCAAGAGAAGCTTGCGTTCGAACAGCAAACAGTGATGTTTTGAGAAGAGCAGAACTTCGCAAGGTTCGTCCAAGCCGTGGTCCTTTCCCAGTTGGTAGTTTTGTCTTTTACTATGACATGTCAGGTGCAGATGCAAAGCATGGACCACATTGTTGGAGAGGCAATGCAAGAGTACTTGGACACGACGGTAGTCACACCGTTTGGTTGAGCCATAGAGGCATCCTTGTTGCAGCCTCACCGGAGAACCTCAGTTTAGCAGACGATGATGAAGTGAAAGGTTGGATGGTGACAAGTCGTGTATCAGAGTTGATTGACGCGACGCCCTCAGTCAGCTCAAACACCTTCTTAGACTTGAGGCGGAAGCTGCCGCCGCCTCCAGACGGTTTCACAAACGATCATCAAAAACATTTCGTTCAACCCCAAACATAAACTCTTCTAAACTCACGTGCAAACTGCTGTAAAAATGCTCTTTCTCCATGTACTGCGATCGTGCTCTCTCCAGCCAAACATTGGGTCCTGCAAAACCATGTAGGAAAACAATGCTCCCTCACGTGGCTTTGGGCTGTTAGTCCTCAAGCGTTTGGCTGCACGTTCCTCCGCCTCTGCTCTAGCTGTGGTGGTTTCAAGCGGTGGAATCTCTGGTGCTGTTTGTGCATGATAATCATCTGTATCAAGGTCAAAAGGAACCATCTCGGATCCTTCCAACTCTGGATCTTCTTCAGGATCGACGGGCACTTTAGCCGCTTCCTCAAGCATCTTTTCGAGTGAAGAGGGCGCCGACCTTGAAGACGAAATGGAAACTGCCTTCTTGCTTTTGCGGTCTTGCTCTTTCTTCTTGAAGAACTCACTGGATCGGACCATGCGCTTCCGATCACGCTCGGACCATTCTTTTCCGAGCCTCTTTTCTCTTGCCTCGGCCGTCTCCTCTGGTTCAACTGCTTCTTCTGCTGGTGCAATGGACGGACTCATGATGACGTCCTGCGGCTCTTCTTCAACCACTGCACTTGGTCTGGGAACATGAGGAGTGTTTTTCTTCAGAGATGTCAGAAGCAAATCCTCTTAGTCCCGGTGGCAGTTTGAATGCAGCAGCAAAGAAAGGACGCAAAGAAGTCCAATTGAAAGACCTTTCCCCAGAGATTCAAGAATTATTTACAGGTGAAGGTGGATCAGATGGCAAAGAGTGGCAAGGTTGGCAAGACAAAGATGCTTGCGATGTCCTGAGTTTAGAGGACAGCCTATGAGTGCGGCGCCAGAAGCCAGACTTGATTGTTCCAACACGTTGGGTCCGCACAAACAAAGCTGAAAACCCTGCCGTTGATCCATACAAGGCGAAGTCGAGATTGGTTGTCCAAGGATTCAAAGACAAATCCTTAGGGCGCTACCGCAGAGACGCCCCGACAGCTTCCCAGATCGCAGAGAGCATTTTGCTTTGCCTTGTTGTTTACTTTCGTTTCATTTTGATCAGCAAAGATGTGAAGAATGGATATTTTTGTGGCAAGCCTCTGGAACGGGAAATTTTTCTTGAGCAGCCTCGTGGAGGCCTTCCTGGTTTGCAGCGTGGAGTTTTGTTGAAAGCAAAGAAGGCAATCTATGGTTTCGCAGAAGCCGCTCGTTTGTTTTGGCTCGCATTAAGAGAACACCTGATTAGCGATGGATGGGTTGAGAGTGTTTTGGAACCAGCACTTTTCTACCATCGAAATGAAGATGGAGGTTTGAACGGTGTTCTTGTGACACATGTCGATGACATTGAAGGTGGAGTCGAACCCGGATTGGAGAAAGAACTTTTTGCAAACAGTTCTAAAGCCCTTGATTTTGCCACGAACCATCGGCTCAATTTCACTTTCAGAGGTCGTGAGTTGTCGCAGCAAGAGCTGAAGGATGAGCGTGGTCAAGTTTTTGGTGGCCACATTGATGTGAGCATGAGTAACTATGCTTTGGGCATGAGTAAGATCAAGATCGACAAGAGTCGAGGAGAAAATGTGGACGCTGAATTGAATGCTGAAGAGAAAGAGATTTTGAATTCAGGAGCAGGTGAACTTGGTTGGATTACCAGACAGCTTCGCAGTGATCTTGCATTCGACAACGGTTGTGTGCAACGTTGCAAGAAGAACCCCACGATCAAGGACTTGTTGAGATTGAAGCAGGCCATTGAGGCCGCACGTCGTGGAGCTTGCATGCGAACTAGATATTGGAGTGATGTTAATTTAGAGAAAGGAGCATTGATTTATTGGGCAGACTCCGGACATGCAAATGGACACCGGAGAAAGATGATATTTTGAGATACAGATCAGTTGGCGGTTACTACATTTTGATTGGTGACCCGTCAGTATTGGAAGGTGAAACAGTTCGAGCAAACCTCATTTGCTATCATAGCAGCCAGACCAAAAGAGTTTGTCGAAGCACCTTGGCTGCCGAAGCAAGTCACCTTTCAGAGTCGATCGAGGCCGGAGATTGGATAGCAGTGCTTTTACATGAAGCCTTCCATGGTAGTGTTGATTTGAAGAATTGGCCCCAGATCATTGAGCAAAGAATGAGAATTTATGTGACAGATGCACGTTCAGTTTTTGTTTATTTGAGTAAAGATGCGACATCGACCAGTTCAGATAAGCGCATGGCCATTGAAGGCGCGCTTCTCAAGGAGACCGTTCGTCGTCCCGGTGCACATGTTCGCTGGATAGATGGTCAACAGAACATGGCGAACATACTTACTAAGGCTGGAGCTGATAAAGAGGTACTTTTGAACTTTCTGAAAGATGGATATTTTTCGTTGGTGCAAACAGAAGCAAATCGGCTGCAGAAAGAGAAACAGCGAAATTGTCGAGCCCAACAAAAGAAAACTATGAGTGTGAAATCCGCTGTTTTGCAGGTCGCATGAGCATTGGCCTCGACGTCCGCAGCCATTTGCCAGACCCGAGTGGTCCACCCGTGTGGTCCACCCTCTCCCGGCCTGACCGGCCCTTGTTCGATCGTTGTGCCATAGCCCGGGCTTCATCGCCCTGGCCGTTCGTGGAGACAGACTTGTCCGCTGGAAAAGAGAGGGGGGCAGCCGCTTGTGATTTCTTTTTGTTGCAGTGCGTTGCATCATTTTACATTGGAAACCTCCGCACCAGTTTTCAAAATTCACTGAATTAACATACTCGTACAACTAACTCTAAAAACAACATCAACTATAGCTCTTCAAGTGTCTTGTCTGCTCCCACATTCCTTCTGTCATCGGACGAGAAAAGTCATAACCGACAAACACGACCTCTTTGGCTCCTCTTCCGCATGCCGCTGGCGCGGCTGGCGCTCTCTTCCGCTGAGGTGGGCGCAGGAGAGGTCTCGAAACTGGAGATCAGCCTGGTGCCTTCAGACCCTCAAGTGGAGGTGCGACCCCAACGATCTCGCGGACGAGATGGGGTCGCTGGATGTGTGGGAGATGTGTCGGGAGGAATAGGAAGAATCGGAGGACTGCGTTTTTTCGGAAAGGAGGCCATTGGTTATGGGGGGTGGGTTCAAAAGCAAAGGAAGGTGGAGTGAGGGGCCATCAAACCGCGATTTGTTGGAGAAAATCAACAGGTCTCCTTTGGAGGGGTGGCAAGGGCCCTGTTAGAGGTCTCAAGTATTGCAAACTTCCACTCATTAAACCCCACCTGGCAGTCATCATCCACCACAACCCATAAGGAGTCATGACTCACTGGACTCTCTGGGGTAGAGCAGCGGTTTCCCGAACTGGGTCAATCCCCAGCCACCTGCGGAAGATGTTTGATTTCCAGCCCAGAGTCCCAGAGCGCAACCCTGGACCCGAACCTAAAGGGGCGGTCGGAATGGCTGGGGCTTCGGGAGCCGCGCAGGGGCGAACTCACCGGGGTCGCAACTTGCCCACGGCCAGGAGGGAGGGAGCCGGAACTCCGCGGAATCGGGGTTGGGCGCGAGGTCGTAGGGTACAAACGGGAGGGAAGAGGTGCATGACCAACCCGTCAAGTGAATTCTTGGGACCAGAGAGGTTTCCAAGGAGGTTTCTTCCACTTCACTGGTTTGTTCAACAGATTCCGTGTGTGTTGAGGATTCTAGGTTCCAAGCTTGGTCTGCTTCGGAGTTCCTCTGCACATCTCTGCACCACCTTTTCCCTGAAAAAGGTTTGACCCGCCCAGTGCAGTTCCCTCAGTTCGCACTCTCCTGTTTTGCGCAGTCGTCGTGTTCGAATGGGCGATGTTCAGGTGGAACATCTTCAAGTCCGGCAGATCTACTTGCAGATCTTTGACATCGAGGAGAGATCCAGACATGGCATGGAAAGTCCTGCAGGTGACTTCTGAGGTCCCAGGTCACTTCGTTTCCCCAACAAAGCAGGCCCAGGACTCTGGAATGCCCAGGTGTCGACACTATGGAGTCGGAAGGTGGTTCCTAAAGCTTGAGGGCCAACCTAACATCAACCAAACCGAAGACACTGAGGATAGCAGTGTTTTTGTAGAAGCTGATCCAGCTTGGCAAATGCACTACTTCTGATATAGACGAGTTGATGAACAAGAGACATCGCAGAAGTGAGATAGCTTTGATAGCTCTGCAATTGCATCAATGGTCCATCATGGAAGTATAGCTACTACTGCACGAACTCGAAGAAGCAACCCGGCGAGACACGGTTTCTCAGGCCAAAAAGAACCCGACACAGAATGGACCTTCAGGTCTGGCAGGTCTGGCCCCCCCAGTTCTTCACCCTTCCACCTGGCCGCCGCGTTGAGCAGTCCTCGTGTGGCTTGGCACGGTCCAGGATCCGCCGCGGCTGTTGGCTGATGAGGTCACCGTGGAGAGTTGCCAGGCGCGGGACCGGCGCGGTGCGGCGTGACCGGCGCGGTTCGCCACGCGTTGCTCGCCTGGGGTCGGGGGGCAAGGGGGAGCAACCCCTCGCCCAGTAGGTCACAAAAAGAGTTGTGGGAGGTGCGAGTTCCAGCGATCGGGCGATCTTGCGGATCTCTACAAAAAAGAAGACGACACCCATGGCCCATGGATCGTTCGGGCTGCCCATTGGTTGCGTCTATTTTTTTTCCGACTGCATCGGATCGATCCGCCCCACGAAACCCACACGATCCGCGCTGCTCCGCGCGGAGCGGAGCAGCGCCGCTCCGGCTTCGCTTCGTGGATCTCCTTCGTCCTTTGGGCAGGAGGTCCTGTGGCCCAACGGCGAGAAGTTCCACCCCTCTCCGGAGAGAGGGGGGGTGGTGTTCGGGGTGGGTGTGGTGTGTTCGGGTGGAACTGGCGGTGGGTGTCCGAAAGCCGCCACGGCCTCAAAGAAGCTAGCTACACTCAAGTGGAAGACTTCACATGGAAGTAGAAGGAAGACTACTTCTGCGAGCTATAGGAAGACGACTTTCCTTTTCAACCAGGAAGTTCACTCCAGGTCCCCTTTGTGTAATGGTTTCGTCCACGCTCCACGCTCCGCGCAATTGAACTCCATGACGTCACTTGTCTGCGGCCATGAACGGTTTTTTGGGGGCGGATTGGGGATGTCCCCACTCAAGACTAGGTGGCAAAAGGATGAAATAGAGTGGTTAACCATGGTTAACCTTTAGAATCTTCCGAGAGTGACTGCTTGGTTGCTTGAACCGTTGTCAGACGTTCTTCTACTTCTCCTCCGCCGCGAGGACTATACCTTGCCGGCTGGACTGGCGCCAGAGGTGGTCTTCGAGGGAGTCGAAGCGCATGTGAACCCTGACACTGAGCATGTTGTTTCCCGTCGACATGACCGATGGGAGATGTGCCACTGCAGTGATCCCGATGGTCGACCACCCCATGGTCCAGTTTCATGGGTTTTCACCCCCATTGACGGTCGCGTTTGTTTGGCTTGGCTTCAGCATGTGAAGCTCAATAGTCTAAATAGGACCGATTTGGACCTGCATTGATTTGATTAATGATTTGATTTGATTTGAACCAAACAAACATTGCCCTATTCGTAAGGGATTTTACTCTACAAAACCAGGTCCACCCGTTCTTATGAGACCTCATGGGACAGTCAACAGATGTCAACAGACCGTCAATAGTAGATACCAGGCGCCCCACAAACCATCAAAAACCTGGTTTTTGTATCTGAAAACCTTTGTTTTTCATGGTTTTGAGGGCCCCTGGTATATGATGATTGATATACTGCAATCTAGCTTCCTGGGAACATTTCTACGGATCTATTTGTCCCCGGCCAGGCCCTTCTACTGATGAGTCCCGAAAAGGCCCTTGATGGCCATTTACATCCATTTCATGTCACTCTACCCCCATGAACTTCGGACGGACGTAGCTACGTCCCTAGATGTCCCTGCACCGACGTCGCGGTCGCGGCGTCCCGGGGCTTCGATGCTCTTTTTGGCGGTCGGTGCATCGGCCGGCATCGTCTAAGGACCTTGAGGTCCAAGCAGATGAAAGGCGCTACTCTCGGGACCGGTCGGTCTCCGCGTGGTCGGTCGCCTTCGCTTTCGCGGGCCGGTCGGTCACCAGCGGCCGGTGGTTTTCCTCGGAAGGGGTGCCAACGTGCCATCTGTGGAGACGAAGGTGTGGAGAGTCACCGGCAACTTCTGGACCAGTTGAGGGAATTGGACATGTAACCCACTCATTGGAGATCTAGAACAGTCGACATGCTTGGAGGGTTTGATTCATCGTCTACAAGTTAAGTGTGTTCTGAATTCTTGCGTCGAAGGGTTTTGAAGTTTTGGTACATGGTCCGTGCACCTTCTCAGGTGCAAAACAGGACATCCTTCTCGGTTCATTCGAATAGAACACTTGGAGGACAGGTTTTCGTTTGGTCGATAGTCCTTGGCCTCTACTTCTTCCAATAGACTAGTCCAAGTCCAATAGTCCAAGCACCATGTTCAAAGGGAAATTGGAGCCATGAGACCAAACCACACCTTGTACATCCTTGTACTGTACGTACTAAGGAGTCTACAGATCCCTCATCCAGTTTCCTTGCAAGCCATGAGTCTGCAGGGTCCCACACGACCACCGCTGCTGACTTGACACGACCAGCCGTCCACCCATCCCACCGCACCCGTCCACACCGTCCCGCCTGACCAGTGGCCGGCTCGCGAGGCAATGCGTTGGGCGCGCTCTGGCAGGGCCGGACCTTCTTCATCTCGCTTCGAAGCCCCGGAGTTCATCCTGCCGAAGAGGCGGGAGAGAGCGATTCATGCGTTTTTTTTTTTTGTGGCCTCATTGGCGGCCTCATCGAAGAAGAACACCGTAACTATTGGGGCGGCGTACCCTCTTCAGGATTGGTACATGAGCTTTTCAAGGCAAAAACAAAGCGACCTCATTCTGGGATCTCAAGTTCGATCGGAAAGGTCCTGGTATTGGGGCGAGTCGATGGGCGAGTCCTGCAATTCGGTGCTTTGGTGAAAAGGAGATACTGTACGACTCGCACCTGAGAGTGAGTTCAGGAGAATTCACAACCGTTGATCATGACTGTGAGGTGGGGTAGTTCATGAGTTGAAAATGGAAGTTTAGGGAACACAGCTTTAAGAGAGTGTCATTCTGAAGATGTCAGATTTTGGTCATTCTGAAGATCAACCTCGACTGCGAGTGTCGAGAGAGAACGTGCTTCATCTTCAAAAGATCAACATGCCCCGACGCGACTCGGTCGGGCCCGAACCGAGGGGTCGGACCCGAATCGGAGGGACCGGTCGGGCTGTTTTCACGGAGCGTCTGGGTGGGAAGAATTCCGTGTTCATGTTGGAACTTTCGACCCGAACTGTGCCCTAGAAGTCCAAAGACTATTTTAGGCACCACCCAAGTAAAGGAAGTTCCTTTTCGATCCTTTTCGGATCACCTAAAGACCGTTTTAAACAGTCTTGGACTCCCAGGGTGTGTGTGTGTGTGTGTGTGTTCAGCCGTGATGTCTTTCCCCGCCTTTGGCGCATCGCGCCATCGAACGGTGAACGTCCGTCATGGGCTCGGTTTCACGGAGAACGCCGCCGTGGCCGGTGAGAGCTCGGCACGGCGCTGAGATAGAGGTTTCAAACCATCCAAATCACCAATTTGGTGAGTCTTTTTTGGGGGGAAATATTGATGGGGACATGGACTGGTGTATTGCTGTCTTTATGCTAATTATAGTTAGTGGTTTCAGAGGTTCGATGGCACAGACCTAAAAAAGATAGACAGACGGAGGTCCACTACCAAACCACCGACATTGGGGTCTGTGCCATTCATAATCACTATTATGCTTTCTTTGGCTGCTCTCCGCATGCTGATTTGCTCCAGAACGGTGAATCGTGGTGAATCCCACTCCTATCATTCGAGGTCTACGGCTTTGGATGTCTTCGGAAATGCGGCAAAATACAAAATCCACCGAGAATTGTTTTTTCAAGTGACACTCCTGTTCAACAACCTGTACTGACTGAGTAGTTGATAAGCGTATCTACAGTGTTCCAGGACAAAGTGCATATCAAACACAGACAGGCCAAGTATGTGCTTTTCCCCACTGAGTGGGGAAGGTTATTCGTTTTGGCTGGGGTCAGTCCGCCTGGTAGATCCGGAGACAGGTGAGTCCGGCTCAGTCCCTTGGTTTCAGCGGTTTCAGACGGCACAGACCCCAAAGTCGGTGGTGCAATGTAGTGGACCGCTGCGCGGAACCCGCGCCTCGAGTGCTTCAAGTGGATCACCAAACCAGGTGGCACCACATGACTGGGCATTCCGACATGTTCTCTTCCAGGGGCCAACGACGGGGTCATGAACTCACAGGGGGTAACAGGTCCGAAGAGTCAATTCAACATAAGGAAAAGGTGGTTTTTAAGCAGGTCCTGCCCTGAGGATCCGAGTCCGGACCCTGCATGGGCAAGGGGTCGAGCCCTGCTGTTCACAAGGCTTTGGGGCCCCGAACTAATCAAACCCTTGTTTAAGCAGGTTTTAGCATGTCTGATCACCGCATGCTCCATTTGTCCTGCGGCATCTTCCCTGTGCCCTCAGGACTCATCTTCAGGCGCGTTGTTTCACGAAGAGAGGGGGAACATGGGAGTGATAGGGAGCTGACAAGCTATCTGGGTGTTCGATAGGGCTTGGAAGTCAGTGATGCCAAGCAAGCTGGAGTGGTGCCTAGTCTATCTTCCATGTCTTTCTTGCCAAGAGCTCCATGTCTTTTTCCGTCGCGAGTTCCCCCCGCAACAGACACACTACTGTAAGTTCAACTCTAAGTTTCATATTGGCACATTTGATCTCCGAAGACCCCGACCCCAAGCCATGGGTTTGGGAGGCTTTCGGTCTATTTTCGTTCTTCCAAGGGGGGACCCCTTACAGAGGTCTCCCTCTCTTTATAATGGCTGTGCACGGCACCGGGAGATCTCGGTTGACCACCGAAAATGAACAGAATGGACTGAGCTCCCGTTTCGGTCAACCCACCTGCGTGAGTTCCGAGATCTCCGGGCACCCACATCCATCTCAATACCTCCACGAAAGGACGCTCAGTCCTTGAACTCGGGTCAGCTCTCACTCGCCTCGAAGCAGCTCGCCTTGAACCAGCTCGCCCTGAATGACCCCGGACGTTGGACCCGGAACGGGTCCGTGGGTTCCTGGTCCTCCCTCTGGGTGCGCTCCTGCTTGGCTCTCCGAGCGGTTCTCGGTCCTTGGCGTCATCTCGTGTCGTGTCCGATCGCTCCGTTCGTAGCGATGCCCTTGTTTCTTTAGTAGCTTCTAGGTTACTATGTAGTATAGTAATGCCGCCAGGAGCTACTTGTTAGCGATGCCCTTTGTGATAGATCCAAGGATTGAGATCGTAAGAAGTCGAAGATCCCAGTGCAAGGTGGGTGAACCAAAAAGTCAGGGACACTTTCACTCACGCCACATCTTCCACCATCTGTCGAGCTCACCATAGTTCAAAGAGCATTTACTTTCGATCAAAGAACCCTCCGCCAGCCCTGATCCTCCAAGCTGAAGAAACCGGGCCTAGACCGATGGCCTTTTACTGGTTGATCAATAGAGGGGACGCTGGTCGTGTACCACCAATAGGACATCACTGGCCTAGACTATCTTAACCCAGCTCCAGTCGTACCTTCGTTTCGAAGGTGTTTAGGGGTCCAGGAGGGGTCCAGATACCTTCTGAGGAGGTACTTGGAGCCCTAGGGTAAGACATGTTCAATTCTTTTGTCCTTAGGATCGAACGAAGGTCCGCCGGATCCATCCGCCGCCACGTGTGGGGCGGGTGTTTTGTGTGACACCGTCTCGGAAGGCGAGACGTCGTTTACTCGATGGATTTGTGACGTCTCGGAAGGTCTTCACCCTACACACAACAAGTACCTCCAACCCCACCCCAAACACCTTCTCAGCAGGTACGACTGGAGGCCTAGGGTCAAGAGTTGGTCGTCCTGGTGTTCAATCGTCGGTCGCTTCCTTTGTCCTCAGACGACGTGTGTGTGTGTGTCGCCGCTAGCATGCCGCTAGGACGCGAACAACACGACGAGGCCGCGGGTGTTCTGGAAAGGCCTCCAAGAGATGGATGTGACCGCATCGAAGACTCCCGGGCACCACGATCTTCACGTGTTCAAAACGCTATGAAGGACCGTTTGCCCGAACAGAGGCTACGAATGCTTTGGGGGGGGGCTCGGGTAGACCGCCCAGGTCAAGTGATCATTGGTATTTGGGACCAGAAATGGACACCGACACTGTCAAGCTCCACGACAAGCTCCGCTTTGACTCTGTATGCCCGCAACGACGAGTGGATCCCGGCCACCCAGCTGGACCACTCTGTTCTACGAACCCCCCCCAGTGGACCGATCTGATTGGCCTGGCCAGTCTGCCCAGAAACCGAGCCTCGCAACCAGCAACAGTCAGCAAACGGTTTTTCTAACATCGACCGACCCCACCAAAGGGTTTCAAGCGGAGAGGTCCCGATCGTCCCTGAAACATGGAAATGACGGTGGATTGAGAGGAC